TCAGATGAGGGAAAGGGTTTTTTTAATTTTGATTTTTTTCTTTGGTGGGATCTAGAAAACTATAAAGTTCTGAAAACCCTATGTAGGATTTTTCATAAAATACCTGATTGCTCATAGATTGAGAGTCAAATAAAAAATTCCTTCTCGTCATCTCAAGAGGATATATCTGTCTATCAAATAAAAAAAAAACGCAGTTTAATAGAATAAACTATAGTGAAGAAAAATTTGTTCAGAGATTGATATTTTACAAAAAACTCGGTTTTGAGAAAAACGATAAACAAGTTTTATTGTGAATATTACCTGCAACCAACATAAAAATGCAAGAATTGCATGTCAATGGTAAATACGCGTCACAGCGCATTGCACTATGATTGTCGCGACGTATCCCGCGATAGATGGCGTCACCTATTGGTCGCTATTGTATATAATAATTATAATATAATGTAAATATAAGTAATAATAATTCCAACTAACTTAAGCTTTTTTACGAAAATTCCGTAAAAAAGTTAGAGATTTGGGGGGGGGGGGGTGGGGCCATAATATATTTTTTGAGGACGATTATCAAAGTCATGATTTGTCATTCATGATTTAGAAAACATAAGATTAGAAGTAGAATGAATGAAAAGATAAGAAGAAAAAATTGATAAACAGGTGATGAATAGAAATGTTGTTGTTGTTTTAATACACTTACTTTAAACCAATAGAAATGATAAATAAGAATATTGTAGGTGGGGACAGAACCGATCAAGTGCTTTATTTGCGCTGGTCGTGTATATAATAATTCGAAAGAATAAAAAACATGTCATTAGACAGAGAATTTGAAGAACAAATGAGTAAATTGCAACGGCATTGCACCGTTACTGTTCTGCGCGATCCTGCTTATAAAGACCGTTCTACTCAATGAATTTTCAAATTCTTTTCATATTTTTACTCCTCTATATTTGTATATTCACTTCTGAACGAAAGAGCTCTCTGTTACTTAAGGAAGTCGTGATATTTATCAAACAAGGTCTAAAACTGATTTCTTCAGCTGATTCGTCAGAAAAAGCTCATTTTTTTCCGAATCAAATTAAATGAAAACCGGAGAAGTTTTAACTGAATTCGTAGCAGAATTCTTGAGATATTCAAATATGTACTTGGAATTGAAATTAAATGAAATTATGTCGATGAAATACTAAAAATACTGTAATAGCAAACACTTTGCGGTCTTACTATGCATTAACAAAAACGTTCATTTATCTGAGTAACTATTTATGCCAGAAACTCGGTCTAGAGTCAAAAGATTGACGAGTCTAAGCATGACAATTTGCGTTTTGAGGGTGAGAGTGACAACTTTTGCCTTTGATACGTTATTTCCGAAAATTATTCGGTGGTAATTCCGAAAACACTTGGAAACATAGGTAATCGACCACGCTGGCTGAATCTCGTGGCAATATTTGGTTTTCAAAAAAGGGTTAAAAACTTAGTGTAACCGTATATAAGGCGAAATAATCCAATTTTGCAGTTAAATTAAAAATTTCATAACTCAGTCAAGAACCAAACAAATTATGTCAGAATATCAAGATGTACTCTGTTTTCCTGCTTGAAACGATGCAGTTCAACAGAAGTTTCCAAAGTCAACCAAAAATAGTTTAGTTTCTGTAAAGGCTCTCTAGAAATCTTCCGAAGTAATTATCGATGTTGCCATTTGGCAACATCCAGCCACAAGGGGTAAAAATGGTGTGGAGTTCATTTTTCTGTCTTCATGAAACAAATGTATCACTTTCCACTATGCTCATTTATTTATAAAACGTAAACAAGAAAAAGTCTACAAATATGTATAAGTGCCGCAGATAATGACTTTGAAAATAGAGAAAGCTAAGATGTGAAACAGTGGTTAAAAACGAAAATTTATCGATTGTGATAGGATGTGAAGCAATTGTTTTTATCATTCATACAAAGACGTACTTTGCATTTTGAGCATGTTATTCTGGTATATCCAGAGCAACCTGGATTTCGGCAACGGCCTTTTTCCGTATCAATAGGCCAATGATCATACTTGTCGAAACGAGAATTTGTTGATGGAGCTGGACCAGGTGCAGTTCTAGGTGGAATTGGTGCAAGATTTTCTTTATCTATTGAATGTAATGATGGACGGCCGCGTTTCTGTGATGATAGAGGCTGTGGATTCGATTTCAATAAATCTTCAGCTACACTAATACGAAATGATAGTAAAGA